CTGCTGTAGAAGCGAGACTTGTCAGTCCTATGGAAAGGCTCTGGTGCTGAAAAGCTGCATGCATCGGCTAGCCCTTCTCGAGGTGCGCCGATCACGCACTGGGTGCCACATGCGTTGGCAGACGACGATTCGAGAAGGCGTCGACAGGCCAGAAACTGCAGCATGCTTCGGTTTTCGCATCTGTTTCCGTACTGCAGAGGAGCTGCGGGAGCTTGAAAATATTGCCATTCAGGACGAGTGGCAGACTGTGTCGGAAGCAACTGGAGAATTGGTGCAGCTATGTGCAGTTTGGATCAGCACAGGCGAGGATGTTTGGAGGCGGTGGCCAAGAAGTGGACGAAGCCAGGGAGAAGGCAGAGTCTGACAGGTCCCCTCCTGCCTTTGCGACTCCTTGTTGCCCTCCGTTGCATGTTTCCTTACCTGCGTGCAGGGAGCAGCAACGTCGTGCAAGACTCGAGAGCCTGCGAAAGCAAGGTGAAGACAGCCTCTTGAGGACCGTGCTTTTGTAAAGCACTCAACCCCGAGAAAAGAGAGGCAACTACAGCACATTCACCGTCAAGATGTTTTCTGCAGTGAGCGCTTTCGCCTGACTGGCTTGTCGAACCTCGTGCCAAGCAAGTTTGCATTGTGCCGCGCCGCTTCCTTACGCATACAAGTCGGCAACCATAGTTCACAAACGCATGCACCGCGTGCGTGCGAACATGTCTCGGATTGTTTTGAAACAAGCCGAGAGATCTTAGCCTTGGAAGAAGGGAGCGTGCATTTCACGGTTTTGGAGACGCTGGTATCTCCGGACTTGGTTTTACGAGGGATTGAGGATCATTGTGTTTCAATCGCCGGTTGATACTGAGCCCGTCTTTCAGTGTGAGGCAGTTGCACTTATGCCTTGGTGAACACGTGTCACCCCAGCTACCTTCCACCTTGTGATTCAAAGTGTACTGTCAGTTTCGTGGTCTTGTCTGTTCGATTCGAGGACTGCGTGATGTCTTGGCGTGCCCTTGCCCTGCAGGAAGCCAGTTGAAGCTGCCCGAGTGGCAAACGGCATCCTGAAGATTGGAGATGTTTCATGTCCCATGCGGGTGCCAGCCAGGCAAGGTGCGTGGCAAGAGTGGTTAAATCATCTGAGAGCTCAACCACCAGCGAAGATCCGCACTAGGCCAGAGTTGGTCCCCGATGTGGCCTTCGTTGACATTCCACAGCATGTCGACATCCTGAAGGGCATGCTACTTGATTGGTCGCTTGGTCGGGGCCCCCACTCGTCGGTAACTGTGATCCTATGCAGCAGCAGGCCAGACCCCAAAGACATTGCTATGTTGGAAAGCGCCTCAACAATCTTACCGCAGAGCCTGAAACCCGCCAAGAGAGCATCGTTGCCTGAGCCCCGAGGCGTGAAAATCGGACTCCGAAACACTGAACACTACAACAGCGAGACTTGCACTCCGGTCATGCAGCACGGTGCAAAGCAGGTCGTAGTAATGCTGTGTGATTCGTACCGCTCCGACACCACTGTCGACTGCTGGCTGTTCGAAAGCAGGCGCCCTTCCATCCAATCTCCTGCGTGTCAAGTTTGTGATCCCTTTCGTCCTGTTGTCATTCAGCCTGCCTTTGAAAAGGTTCGGGATTCTCCCAGAACTCACCTCGAAATGTTTGTGAATGCTCGTACAACGAATGCAGGGGAGCGGACAGCATGAGCAGCAGAGCAGCAACTCTGTCTGTCTAGGTCATCACTTGCTCCTTGTCGGGAACCAGGGTGTGGGCAAGAACAAGCTCACGGACCGACTGCTCGGGCTTTTGCAATGTGAACGAGTGCGGCGCTGAGGCTGTGCCATGCTGTGCCGGACTGGCACGTGCTGTAGGGGCAGCAACGCTTTTCGCTTCCTGTTGCATCAGAAGCTTCAGGAATACATCCAACTCCATCGAGACACAACGGTGCAAAGCCTAACGCTTGCACCAAGTCTACGCTCTGGAGTTGTGGTCTGGGAAGATTCGCCACTGCTGCGAGCGGTGAAGGCCGGACGGTGCCTAGTTGTCGATGAGGCAGACAAAGCTCCCCTGGAAGTCGTCTGCGTGCTGAAGGCTTTGTCCGAGGATGGCGAATTAAGCCTCCCCGATGGGCGCACGGTTGTACGAGAAAACGATGCTCGATTCGCGGAGGCATCTGATGAAGTCGTGAAGATGTCGAGCAACTTCAGGCTTTTCGTGCTGGCAAATCGCCCAGGTTACCCTTTCATGGGGAACGATTTCTTTAAGGTTTGTGGTGATGTCTTCAGCTGCCATGTTGTGGACAACCCGGACATTGCCAGTGAAGTGGAGCTGCTGAGGAGTGTCGGCCCTGATGTTCCTAAAAATCGAATCATTCAGCTGTCCTTGCTTTTCGCAGAGCTGCGGGAGCTCGTGGCATCAGGCCAGCTGGCCTATCCGTACTCAACGCGGGAGCTCGTCAAACTCGTAAGCCACGCGCAGCGCTTTCCTCGAGATTCCCTGGAGGAAGTCGCTGCTGGTGTGTTTGCCTTTGATATCGCCGATACCAAAAAGCGCAAGCCTTTGCTGCAAGTGCTGCAAAGGCATGGTATTGCAACCACGGAAGTGGGAGTACGTCTTCTTGAAGGACGCCGGCATCAAAGCAACATGACTCTGCGACTGGATGAGAAAAGGGACAAGTCGAAAGATGTTACAAACCAGGACAACCCAGATGGAGAGCGGCCACCGGACATGGCAGAAGGCGGGCCAAAGCATGGCGAGTGGGACGGCCAACAACATATTGGTGGCAACCGATTTGCCGGTGGAAGCGGCGGGACAGGCACTGCAGGACAGAGATGCAGGGATTGTATAGAATGCATAGCCAACCTTCGAACATGCGGGATTTGTTCATTGCATGGCTGAGAGTGCTCGAATCGAGGACTTGGAGGTCGCTGGGGGCCTTACCGACTGGATGTGGGTCAAAAGCTGGTCCAGGTCTCCGAGGACAAGAAGCAAGGCTTGGATGAGGCCACGAAGCGGAAAGCTCAGCAAATGGCGGACGAAGCCTACCAGAAGAGGCATGTCGGCATGACTGTGTTCGTGCTTCGTTTTAGGTCTGCAGGATTGAAACTCAGCATGCATTTGACCGCGGAATCTTGGAATGCATAGCAAAGGCTCCTGCGAACGGCAACCGAATGCTGTCGGTAATTGAGCCTAACGGGGCTGGGTCCCTGTGGGCCGGACGGCTGGTCTTTGACAGCTACTTGAGCCCAACACATCCACGGCCACCAGTGTCGGGCCATGAAGATGAAGCTTAGCAAAGGACCACTACAGCTGAGTACAAGCTGTCGTATTGCATGTGTGGGCTCCTCCCTCTGGAAGGCTTGCCGAGATGAAGATGTCCCTGAAAGAAGGAGAGGCCTATGCGGCCCTGCGGGAACAGGTTGCCACCCAAATTCAAGAAATGAAGGCACCTATCAGTTCTATGCTTTTGACACCCCTGTGATGCATGGCTCCGAGCAGGTCTGCCTAGAAAGCCAGGCAGCTCGACAGCACGAGCGACAATGGCTGAAGAATCAGACGATGGGGGAGTTGGATGAGAGCCGCTTGGTGGCTCCTCGTCCTCGTCTGCTGATGCGAAAACGAAACCCTTTATGGCCTTAAGGCTCAAGGGAAGAAGAAAGCCTCAAGCGAAGAGCTGAGGATGGCATTACTGGGTGCAAAACGGTCTACATGAGACGTGGGGATCCTGAGGGACAGTTGTTTGGCAAAAGCCAGCAACATCCAAAGCGCCTCACCTTTGTCATGGATATCAGCGGCAGCATGTGCCTTGTCTGCAGAACAGGGGCAGCACATGCAGCACGAAGTTCTTGGTTTGAGCCCATTTTGAGCCTGCCTCACTTTTCTCGAGCAGACGTCCGCGCAGCGCTGCACCAGGTATACATTCAATCGGATTGACCGACGGCTGCAGCGATTGCAAGAAGTTGCAGCCTTTATCTTCGAGAGCTTCACAGGCTTTGAGGACTGCAGGGGCGTGGAAGGAAACACCAGGCATTTAAGATGAGATGGCGAGCCAGGACAAGTACGACTACCGCATGGTCGGGCACAGCGGCACAGGCCCCGAGGCCGAGCGACTCGTTGAATGGGGCAGGCCGCCCCGCTCGGAACCTCAGACTGCAGATAGGGAGATAGCGGACGGCGGTTGTCTGCAGCCAAATCAGCGGCAGATCTTCCTGGCATGGGTCGTTGGCTGTTCTTCCCCCAACAAAGCCTTGTGATGCAGCGAAAGGGTGACATTAGACAAAGTCAGTTTCAGCAGTCGACTGCAGGGTGCTGGACTTGAAGCGCCTCTGACTAAGCTTTCCTTGAGATGGCAAGCGGCTTTTGCCAAGCATGGCAGCTGGCAGCCTTGATTTTGCATGCGTGCCCTAAAATTCGGCGAACCTGTCGTCCCAATATCCGAAAACAAAACTTGCATGAAGCTGCCACGATTCTTCACGTGCTTACATTGCATACATGCAGAAACAGTATACTTCGTCTCGATGTGCGTGCCCTTCACAAGGACAGGGAGCGGCTTGAGATTTGTAAGTCCATGGAGGCGTGGATTCCAACATATGTTTTGCATTGTTTTGCTCTGGTGCTCGGTGGGGAAGTTTTGGTGAGTCTGAGCCGTTTAGATGCATCTTAGCTCTACATCGAGATCAGCATGGCTTTACCATTTGGGACTTCGTGACTGTCTTGCTCTGAGCCCGTTGCAGGCACACGCTCAATTCTGCTATCCTGGGGACCATACACTGGAGGTGTGGTTCTAGCCTCTTGAATGAACGCAGCCAGGACATGTGAATGCTGTCTGGAGCGACAGGCTACTGCTCGCGCAATCGCAGAGCTCGGCCGGCAGACGGCAGACGAACGCTGCTCTGATCCATCACGGGAACATTGGGAACCCTGCTGTAGCATCTGCATGGATGGATCCTGCAGTCAGGCTTTCTGCTGGTCGTAAGCGATGCGGACCTGCAGAGGCCAAGTCCTCTTGAAATTCGTTGGGACGCACATCGCCAGGTAACCTAAAACAAGTTATTTAGATTTATTAAGCAGCAAGAACAGGTCGATTCTCGCTTCAGGCCTGGCACAGTAGCAGAAACGCCCTCAGCATTTAGGATATGGCATCCCTCGAGATCTCGATTGGTTAGGGTGTCGAACTTTGTAGAAAGCTGGCTTGTGCATCGTACGTTTCTCGTGACAACTTTCAATTCGGTGCGGCATGGAGTCGACACCACTGAAACGGTTGCTTGAAGCATGGCATGGAAGGTACAACATCGATATTCGGCAGCTTGGCTTGACATGAGACCCACCTCGGCTCCTCACCAGACAAGCCCAATTGCGTGCCAGTGACTGTGTCGTCGTGGACGTGGTCGAGGTGCGTTAAGTAGTCTGAGTACCGACTACAAGTGCAGCATGGTGGAGACCAATTCGAAACCTTTTTCGGGAGGTCTCGCACTGTCACTGACACCACCTGACCAACGCCAACAGCTGAGGCGGTGGAATCAAATTCTACACCAGGATCCAACTATCAAGGCTTATGTCATCTTAATCTCCAACAATGTTGATGAGGCCATGGGTGATCTGCGGTAGCAGAAGTACTGTTTGTCATAGATGACCTGCGTGGTGTAGCACAGACTAGAAGGTCTAAGCTGGCTTCGAGGGCTTCTGTGCTCGGAGCAGGGTACTTAGAAGACTAAGGCCTAATCATGGTGTGTCGAAAGGAAATTCGGAAGTGCAGCAGCCGAAGACGTGGCAGGCTGAGCGCATCAAATCAACCTTGGCACCGGGCCGAGCACATATTTGTGCAGAAACAGCAAGCTTGGCTGTCACTTTCAAGCAGATCTTCAAAGACAGCATGCCCCATGTCCACATTTGACTGCACGGGCTGGGCTAGGGCGGGGTTATACGCAGCAGTTGCTTTTGGCACGCAAGGCTGCGAGACGCCTGAAACCTTCGCGATCCATGTGCTGGCGACCAGCACCGAAGAGCGGCGTACTGCAAAGGGCTTGCGGACTCTGGACATCTCTGGACATCATGGGCAGGAGTGACAAGGGATCAGGACGCGATCAGCGACATCGTCGCATCGGCTTCTCATCGGCACCAGCGCCTCCAGCACTGCAGGAGGCGCCGGACGCCCGGAGGGCCGAAGTTTCAGTGTCTCAGCGGGAACCAAAGCGCTTCCACAACGCTCGCATGCATTGTGGTGGGGCCAAGGCGCCCGTGCGTGCTGCCAGCGGCAGCATGTCTAATTTTCCAAATACTTAGACTTAGACAAGCTCGTGCAGACCAGTGCTTTTGACGTGACTGGCCGAAAACCTGCATCTGCCTAGGCCTTTGCGTGTTGGGCTTGATATGCAAAGCGGATGCTGCAAGAGTCTCAAAGGGCAAAAGGGGCCCCTGTTATCCAGCCTTGGCGAGTTTGCCCCGAGCTGACGAACTCGCATAAGCGCTTTGGGCCATGAGTCGTGTGCGGCAGAACAGTTCGGAGAGAGAGATTCGCCTGCAAAGCGATCCCCGAATCCATGCTGTCGTGGAAGATTAGTCCCACTGGAAATACACCAGACCTGCACACTCTGACTGGTCGAGCTGGTGCATTCGAAACCTTCACTTCACCCGACACATCCCTGCAGTCAACGAACAAAGCAATGGGACTGGCAATGTTGCGCGAGCATGGGGTAGTTCGGGCCATTCGGGCTACTGGACGGTTTGAGGCGGCGAAGCCCGTGCGAAGCCATGGGCAGTGCTTGCTCAGGTGAGCTGAACGACAGCAATCAGGCCGGCATGTGCGAGCCGGGTGCAATCCTAAAGCCAGCACTGCATGCAGCGAAGTGGCATTTTCTTATACATCATGTCTGCCGCACTCGTTTGCTGTTGGATCGGCTACGACGATAGGCATGTAAGGCACGTAGTTCGTGCTTGCATCAAGATTCTCCCTCGTGTGCCGTGGAAGTGCCGAGTTCGGGTCCAGCTGCTAAATTAGTAAACGTGTGTGTGTCGTGTGTTTTTCTTGGATGGTCGCGACCGCGTCTGGCCACCATGGCAGACTTGACTGCGGACGAACAAAGTTCAAAACAACTCACCAGGATCTCCAGATCCAGATGCCAAAAGCCTATAGGACTCTAGGAGCACGCAAGCAACTAGGTATTCAGGCTATCGCCTGCAAGCTAGAAGGCTGCCGAGATTCAACTATGTGACGATCGGTTTGTGCGCCCTGTAGGAGCTTCTGGCCGTGGACAAAGCAGAGGCTGCGCAGCCTCAATTGAAAGGCACAGCCGTCTCCACGAACACCCTATGCGAAGTGTTCAGGCAGTGCCGACTGGCTGATTTTGAGAGCACGGGTGCATCATTTCGTCACCTGCCTGGCTATCGCAGCTTCATCTGAGGCGATGCGAACAACGATAACTTTGCGGCATCCTGAAATTGTGCATGTCATTGCTCGTGTACTGTATTGTGAAGCGAAAATGGATGCGTGCCGGTGCCCGTGCTAGCCAGACACTCGAGGTCACCCGGATAGAACTGATCAAGGCCTGCAAGAGCCACCCAGAGATCGCGCAAATGCTCGGGATACCCGAGAATCTGCGGGATAGCGCGCGTGCTCAGTTCGAGCAAGTGTACCCTGGCTTCGCACTCCTGGTAGACATTGTGTTGCAGCAATAGGGTTGTTGTGAGCAAAGGTATCAGGCCTTGGATGCCGACAGTGTCTCAGCAGAAAACAGAGTCAGAACCGCTTGCTTCGGACAGGCGTAAAACCACACATGCATCCAAGGTGATCGGAAGGTGTCGCTGGATGAACTGAGAGCTTATTTTGTTCGAGCGGGGTTTCAGGTCACCGATGACTAACTGCGGTCGCTCTTTCCGAGTCAGCAGTTGTGTAAAGTTTCTGACGCAGCGGGCCACGCGAGCCAGCGCAGAGGCGCCGCGATGCGCCGCGGAAGCCAAGATGGCGTGTCTCATGTCATATGCAATTTCTGTGAAGCTTCTTCATACCCGTGTCAGCTCGTTGACTCCAGCAGCTGATCAGCTCATGGAACTTGACCACTTTAGCTCACATGCTTACATCTGACAGCGAGCTGCACTCCCATAAAACAGCCTGCAGCAAACAATCCCCGATGTTCGAGCAGAGCCAATAAGCTCACTATCACAAGCTTTTGTCCACCGCCAGTCATAAACCATGTGGGAGAAGTACCGCGCTGAGAGCAGCCGAGCGCACATGAGATGGCGCAGTCGGGCTCAATATTAGATGCATTGGGCCGGAGCCCTACTGTGCATGGGGATGCTGTGGACGTGAGCCTGAGCGACTCGATGCGACTCGCGACCAAGGACAAAGCATTCTGGACTCGGCAAGCTCCATAGATGCCCACATCGATGCCGGGGCTCTGGTCGACCGAATCTCAGGACGCGACGCTTTGGATGATTGCCAATTCCCAGAAGAAACGCCAGGCATACTCTAGTAACTCTAGTATCTCTAGTCTAACTCTAGCGTTCGCAAGAGTACATCCGACCGTGTCAGGAGACTGCAGCACGGCAAGCGGCCATCGAGCGCGGCAATTTGCTCTGGCCGAGTTCAAGGCTCTGGCGAAGCGCGCCCCTGGAGCCGTCGTCGCCACTGAAGGTCCAAAGCGCAGCATTGGCTCATGTGAGCGTCTTGCAGCCAGTCCGCGTTCTGAGCAGTGCTTCTTTGCAGGCGCCGTGGTTGCCATCCTGCGCGTGGTTGAGAAGATCTCCCCGCCTCAGGATGAAGAACTTGCCGACGAGAATGTGGACTCAATGCAGGCAGATATGCTGAAATTCGTGACACGTGCCTTGATTTCTTTGACTGCTCGCGAAGGATGCCTTAGAGTGCTTGAGCTCGTTGATGAGCACCGGCTCGTCAAAGAGCTCCGCCTCCAAAGATTCGAAGATCGAAGAGAAGGTGAAAGCAGCGACTGCACCCCGCATACCGAGCACAGCGGATGCTGCCTCCTGCAGGAGCGAGCAGACGAGCAGCGAGGACAACTGGTAGCGGAGCTCATCGTGCTTCTTGTCTTGCCTTTAATTTGCACGGTCTATGCATGGAAGTTTGGGGGCCCTCGCAACACCCGCATCGGCACATATCGGCACCGAGCTGCAAAAGACCCGAGACCCGAGAGCAGCATGGACATAGACATCGATATTTGTCGGGTATATGCCGCGTTTGTCCTGCAAAACGGTGCAAGAGGAAACTTGAACCCTGTGTTGCTTGCAGCACCGTTCCACCCTTGATTGGGCTACCAGTAGTTTGGTTCTCTGGTACTCGTGCAGCTCGGACCAGAGAGTTACTGGCATAAAAACCCTGGACCTGCTACAATTCGGTCGGACGATGTGAAGCTTGAGGCGAGTATTCTGGTTACATCTGGCCATTGACCTCTTTCAATTGGTAACGGAAGTCACACCGCGTCTGGTTAAATTAGCACACACATTTCGAGGAAGGTAAACAGTGTGTCGCATCTTTCCGCGGTACTGGTTCAGCAGTCACGGTTACTGTAGGCTTGGAAAGTTGACGGTGGCCTGTTAGAGTATGAAGCATTGCAGCTTATGGTTTAAGCAAGTGTGTCAGGGATGGGTTCAGTTTCGCCCGGGGGCACAAACTCACGACATCGGTTAGTAAGAAACAAAACAGGATGGCACCTGCTCATTCATGTTTCTAACATGAACTCTCCTGTTGCCAAAGGGGTTTGCGCCACCTTCATCACACTCCTTCCTCCCTACGGTAAGTGGACCACGGACAATGGGGAAAGTGTAGACCTTCTGACTTCCTGTGAACACTGGTCATGGTGAGCCGACTTTGCAGACTGCTCAAATTTACCGGCGATCACATGCTGGGAAACGGTGCTGTTGCGACTTCCGTTTTTGAGTCGCAACGCGCGGTTACATAGAGGAGGCTGGCTCGCCCACTTGATGTGCCTTCGGTGTTTACCTGTCGGAGAGTTGCTCATATGTAAAACTGCGGGCGATGTAGAGCGATCTCAGACAAGAGGCGCGAACACAAAAGTTGATAAACTGTTTCTCCAGCATGCATGCATGCATGTTGTCGATGCCCGTGCCGTTTGGCACAGTCGAATAGCAACAAGAAGAACCTCTCGCACCGATTTACCTCTATTTGTGGGGTAATCCTTACTGGGAGGTCACGGCATCCAGCAGAGCGTTTGGCAGCAGAAACTCCTGAGTCCATCGCAGTTCCCGCTTGCCACTGTAGCCCTAATTGTCTGCAGCATGACCATCTCAGGAAGCACACGGAGAACGTCAAACAACTCCTGCGATTGCTTTGTGTCAGTCCCATGACGCCAAAGTAGGCGAAGGTGCATCGCGTCTCAGCGTGCTCAGAGACGTCGCTGAGCAGCTCCCGAGGCGAGACTTCCACGCAGTACGATGCGATGATCCTGCTTCAGAAAATATACATGCGTTTACCTGAGCCCGTGAATGCTGCGATCTTGGCGGACCCGAGGCGTCTAGTCGTCGAATCACGGGTTGAGTGGCACGGAGATGGCTACACAATCCACATGCACTGAAGCTTACCAGGTCCCTCGGCCACCTGATGCACGTGCTGCAGACGTCACCCATTGACTATGTGCGCAATGAATGCCTTGGTTTGCTACTTCTGCTGACGGCAGCCAATGCTGACATTCAGAGACCTGACCGGCAGTGTGTCAAACAACATTTACCGACCCGGATGTTTGTGTATGCAAGCATGGCGACAGGGCATGATCCCTCCGAAGCAATGTGGCCTGTTTGCTGAGGACTATTGTTACTGTGCAGGGTTTCATCGAGACCGTTTTTTCCATCCTCGAAGATGAAGATCTCGCTTTGGGTGGCAAAGTTGCGCGAGATCTGCTGCAATGCCTGATGAACATCGTCGGGAATTCAACCTGTCAGAAGTACTTGCGCGAAACGGCGGTTGGGATGCATTTGATCAAACCTTTAGTTGTGGATTGGGGTGAACTGTGTTGCAATGCAGTCGCAGCTTGCCAGGATGGGGCGGCGTCACTCGTGTCCGCAATTTCTGTGGCAGTTGCCGGAAGACCAAGTGAGGAGGAGGACGATGAAGACGAAAGGTAGGGTCCTCGTCTCTGCTATTGGTTATAGTATGTTATAGTTTCACCTCCATTGATAAACGATTCGAGGCCAGAAATCCCTGGGGAGTCTCGCTGGGCGTGCCTTTCTCTTCTGGTGGATGCGGCGTTGTCGCTGGCCAGTCCTCACGATGCTGCGGAGGCCGAGGCTGAGGCCAACCGCCCTTCAACGGCATTCTAGAACGTGTTTCCAAGTGTTGCCTTCGTCGTGCTCTTGGCACGACAGATCGAGGGGAGAAGTTGCAGTGCCTTTGTTGAGGTCTCGCCTTGGTTAAGGCGGGTGCTCTGGACCTGTGTCGCCACCTCTCGGACCCGCAGCTGGCAGAGGTCCACGGATGCACATGTCAATGTACTCACAGCAGCGTAGCAGGACTACAGATTCAGGATGTCCCGAAAGCGCTCTACAAGCAAACAAAAAGTATCGACAAGAAAGATGTATCATGAATGCATGCATGTTTGCATGCACGCAGGCATTGGAACCGGTATCGACGTAAAGATTTTTCAATTATCCCTTCATACATACAGCCAATCGCGGATCCGAAGCGCCGCATCCCTCGTCGTTTCCGGATCAGCTGGGATTTCCAAGAGATCGCGCCTGCAGCAACGCGAAAAAAGCGTCCGCCCTATGTCCGGTGCATCCAGGATCCGTGGCGCAGTTTGCACGTCGCAAGCCGAAATTCGTCGCGGCGCCTCGTGCGAAGCCCCATTTCGCACGCCGACGCAATCCGGACCCGGCGGTCCCAAATAGAGGGTAGCAAAATTCAAGAAGCCTCGTGCGTTAGAAGTAGAAAAGGGATAGCAAGAAGCAGACACGCTGGGTCCACGTTGAGGGTTGTCAATTCGGGACATTCCAGAAATGCAGCGAAGCGCGTTTCGTGTTATTTGCATTTTTTTAATGGATCGCGCAACATTAACACGAAGTGCCACGTGTGGTGGAATTTGCAAAGGATCGTGCGGAAGAAGCCGACATGCTGACACAGTGCAAGGGTTCCTCGAGCCGGGGGGGGGGGGGGGGGGGGGNNGGGGCAGAGGAGTTTGTCTTTAGAGTTTACAACGGATCCTGGCGATCGCAAGATCCGCGGAGAGGGTTACAATCTTTGGGACCCAGACGCCACACCTGTTGTAACTTACCATCAATGCGCGGCGGCTCCTGCCAGTTCTGGCCCGGCTCCCTCGCCAAGGCTTTCGGAAAGAAATGGATCCAACGTAAGAAGATCGACTCTGTCACTCTGTCGACCTTCGCCGTGTCCTTGAGGTTGCGCAGCTCATGCTCGTGCGGCTCTTTGAGTCGCTTGAGAAGTGCCCACAGGCTCTGGCCGCTAGCCGCAAGATGCTGAGTGTTTCCCCATGCCTTCACCATGCTTGACCTCCCTGCAGGCTGCCGATCGCCTGCAAAGCTTCGGGCGAGGCAAACAAGACTCCGGCAGACCACTGCTCTTTGTCAGCCGACCTGTTTGAGCTCAGCAGCTTCTTATCTAGGGCCTAGGCGGAGCCATACATGTCGCACAAAGTGAACCACACGGACACGATGGATGCAAGGAACTACTAGTAGAAAGTTGATGCTGCTGCCGCCTTTAGCCCTGCATAGCAACAACAAGTGCTACCAATGGTGATCGGAGCCTGGCCGAGTTAAACGGGTCAGAACCAGGCAGTGCAGGTTCGCCTGTGTTGAATATGGAGAGAGCTAGCAGCATCTGGCAGCTCAGCTGCAAAGCTGCCGGTGTAGCGTAGGAGCTAGGTGGAGAATGTCTCAGTCTCAGACTAATTGCATCGTGCTGGTTGCAAGAAATTGCGCGAACTGGTTCCACACTTGAAATCACTGGACCAAACTCTTGTTCAATCTCCCCAACCTCACTAGACCCTTCCTGTGTTTGACCCCCCCGCCCCACCTGTTGTTCTCACCCCTCCAATCTACATTGGGTCCCACATCTTGTCCTTTTCACCCCCTCCCCCCACAACCATTGTTTTTAACATTTTTAACATGCCCCATCTTCCAACCTCAGACGTGTCTTGGCCCCTGCTGGATCTGTTTTCGACCTCCGGGCCCCTAACTGCCAAAATCGCGCCCCCGCTTGCAGAGACATGCAGAGACTCCCCGCTCGAAGCCTCCCACTTCCGCTGAAGCGCTCCACGCCAAGCTAAGCCAGGCCAGGACAAGGGGAACTCCAAAGTAGGTACATCCGTACATCCTGTCCCGGTATAAACTAATGAAATTCCTGCCGGCTGAGGCAGCCACCCTCCTTACACACATTCGACTACTCTTGCCACAGTGCTTCTGCGAATCCTGCTTTTGTAGGACTCCTTCTGCTGCTCTGTCTGCTGTAACTGAATGCTTTGGCTTCTCCGACTACTGATATCGCAAATCTTCTGCTACTGGCTGCTACTGGTTCCAGCAGTCCAGCATCTTGCGAATTGGCAGTGTCCAAGAGAACAAATGTCGTGCTGGAACTTCTCGAAGGCGAGTTTCACCAATTCCAATGCACAAGGGTCGAACTCTGCAAGGGTTTGCCGCGAAACGGGCGCTGGGAATCGCAGTCAGGTGTCGCAGGTTTTCACGGGGTGCTCGGCACAAACATACGTGTTTGGGAGTTACTTTTCCACGGGTCTGGCGGATTCGGTGATTGGGAAGCACATAGACACACAGGTTTTGTGGAGCCGTGGCTAACTTAGCCGAATCTGTGCAAGTAGTGGGATGTAGTAGGTCAAGGGCGTTTGTTGGCTTCGGATTTTAACTTTCAAGCTACGGACGGTGGCAGCATGACTACTATATTGGAACATTGATGTGCTTCTCATGATTTCTCATGGCAGGATCTGGCGGCAGTGCTGCTGGGTGGGAGCCAGAGTTGAAAAAGTCTGGAGAAGTCTCATTTCAATGCCGCGCGACTCGACAATCTGCAGCTTATGACTGAGGTCCTGTCACGCGGCTAAGCCTTCGAAACGCGCTTGGCACTATTCTCAGGTGAAACTGCTCACCTGCAGCTGCTTCACGATGTGTGTGTGTGTGTGTGTGTGTTTCGGTCGTCCCTACGCCAAGCAGACAGTTTGGATCATTGAAAGCTGTGGCCGAGTCTTTTTGTTAGTAATGCTGACTTCGATCGTGCTCGGTCTGGGTGCTTCACAGTACATTTGACATCCTTGACGTGGTGCAGTCGGCTCTGTGCAGTCTATCACTATGATGCAGCACAATTGATTCCGAGTGGTTCTTCTCTCAGGACGTGTACTTTGCCGCTGTGTCGCCAGACATTTCTCACTGCAGCCAGGCACTCAGAGGCTGTGCATGTAGCCCATCTGAGCCGAAGGCAGCTAACATGAAGCTACGGCAGCTAGGACGTCTAAGCGTTCCAAGCGGCCGTGCCCACGTCCAGGGGTAGGCGACAGTCTGCACTTTCAAGACATGTTGCGCTGCCGGCAGAGGGCATCACCCTTGCTCCCGGCAGCTCTCCTTCAAAAGACCTATTTCTCTTTGTTGCTGGTTTTGCTTTTTGGTGCAGGATTGGGGATAGGGTGTGCGGGTGAAGCCAGCAATGCCAGCATGAAGAAGCAGCACGGGCAAGTGGTGCAGAGACTGGGCAGGAAAGAAAGTTCAACAAGAAGCGGGGCACAAGATGGCAAGACGCAGAACAGACTTCAAGTCGCAGTGCGGCCAGGTAAGGACAAGCAGAGCAGACACTTCCACGCGCGCGGGCCGACAGGAGCTAAGAATATAATTGGAAGGACAGCCAGTATGTAACTAGCAGGCTCCCTTACCTGGCTTCTATGACTGACAGAACTCTGGCAAGAGTTGTTGCTGAAATTGCACAGGTCCTTCCTTTGCTCTTCACTCAGTCCAGAGCTCCAAGCAGATTCTCCAGAGGACCCCAGAGCCGTGCAGATTTGAGATCTTCCGACCGGTGTCGACTGCTGCGGACAGGTGAGGCCGGCGGGACGTCTCCTCGTGGACGTGCTGGAGGCGTGCGCATGCGTTCGCCAGGTTCTACAAACTGCCTTTTCTGCACTGCAGCTGCAGGCTGCCTGCCTTTCTGGAGGAGGCGAGCTGGAATCTGCTGTAAATGCCGGTGTGAGGCTAGATATGGGAGCTTCTCTATGCAGAGTTTGGGGCCTGGGGTTTATTCCTTCCGTGTCGAGAAGCTTGGGTTTCTGTTCTTCGCACTAGGAGCTTTCGAGTTTCACCTGGCTACCGCAAGTTCTCGAAGTGAAGAGAGGGTTCAGCCTGGCCTCAAAGCCCAGGTGGTTCTGCTTCAGTGGAGGTGAGCTGGTTTGCGCAGTGTACTAAGTTTGAATGCACCGCAGTACTTGTGGCACCCAAACTGATGTGGCGACAAGGCTGAGCTTGCTGCTCGCCATGATGCGTGGGAACACAAGCGCAGGGGACTTGGAGTGATGCAGTTGATGATGTTCCATGCGGTTCGGCAATGAAGATATATGAAGATTAAGCCGCCGTTAATGGCAGTCTACGATGCCTTAGCTTGGCGTTGGCCAAGCTGAGCGACAATCTCAAACCTGCGTCATACGGCCGTTGGCGACCTGTTTAGCCTGTAAACAGCCTCCCCACTGTCGTGGAAGCCACTGTAAGAGGAAATCAACGTTCACTGCGCTGCTGGCTTTGAAAGTCGATGTGCTGTAGACGACTTCACCATGCCCATTGATTTTTCCTGGCTTTTTCGGGTTACCCACCCCCGAAGAAACTTCAGCCACGACTGAAAAGCATAGGTATTGAATAAAGACAAAATAAGCACAGAGCATTTCACAATGGAGCGGTCACTTCTGCCCACTGGCACATGCAGCTGCGCCTGGATCCCGCCATTTCAGTCCACATCGTCAAGCAAGTAAATTTCATGTCGGAACATCGTCTACATTGGCCCATATAGGCCCCAAATCAACCCCACATCTACCAATTGACTGGCTGAGAATCACCCCGTGTACCCCCCCATCTTCTGTAGCATGGGGGGTAAGTCACCCATACAAGATCTTTCTGTGCCGTAGCATGGTCGTCAGATCGAGCACATAGTGCACATTTCAGCAGAGTTGCTGCGGGTTACCGGCATTGCACGCCAGATTTGTTTTGGCTGACGCTTCCATCTGCTGGCGGTTGCGACCCGGCGGTGGCGGTATTTGTTCTCTAGGTTGTCCGTGTTTTCCGGCGAGCAAGCAAGCAAGCAAGCACGCAAGTCTAAGCCGCGCAAGCTCGCTTCAAAATAACATCCTTCCAGCAAGAACAGAGCGCGTATGGATCGTTGCAGAACTCCAGATACAGACCTTGTGGTTGCAATCGGGGCGCGCGTGCTCCACTCCTGATCATAGATGCAGCAGCTTGAATGTTGCCAAGGCGGTGCAAGTCCTTCCATCTTAAGCTTTTGGTATCCTTCTGGAGTGACTGTTGCTCAAAAACTAGAGGAGGAGACTGACATGCGGCAAGCTAACGACACAATAAAAAAGGAGCAAAGAGGCCGGGGTAGGTCACCAGATTAGTTCTGCATGTTTTCGGTGTTGTTTTGAAGTGTGTGTTTTCCGTTGTCCTCGTGTATGCTCCTTTCCCTACTAAAGGTATGGTATTTTGACAGAGTGGCCCCTAGTTGTGCGATAGCACTGTTTAGGGATCTAAGCTCGGGTCATGGTTTAAACCGCAGGAATTTCGTTTGGGTTGGGGCAGTTCCGATCATACATCTCAAACCCGCCGAGTTCCTTCGATTTTTCAGGCTCATCATATATCACAAACACGCCCCTTCATTGCGCGATTCCGGTTCATCATATATCTTAAACATGATGAATCTTAAGCTGAGGTCATCATACATCTTAAACACACCTCTCAATTTGGCGATTCCGGTTCATCATATCTCTGAGGGTTTTCAACATGTATCATCTTAAACACCCCCCCAATTGGGCAATGTCGGTTCCTCATACATCTTAAGCACGCCCCCCTCATTTAGCGGCTCGGGTTCATGGAAATTCAAGATATATCTTAAACACGTCCCGTCATGTAGCGATTCCGGTACTTTAAGTATCTTAAACACAGCCCCTCATGTGGCGATTCCGGTTCAGCGAATAACTGAAATACCCCCGACCATTGGGCGGCTGCAGTTCATGATGATTCTTAAGCACGCCCCCCAGCAATGCCTGAGGTGCAGAGCGCCTGCACCACCATGCCGGTCTTGATCCCGAGCGATGCTGGCCCGGCCAAAACATTCCAAGAGCTCTTGCAGGGACCTTGTCTCTGCAGGAGAGCATGCTGGATGGTTTTGAGACTGCTAGGTGTGCGTGTCTTTGCTGCGAAAAGACGCTGCAATGGCACATGCTATTGCCAAGGTTTGCAGCTTTCTCGGCCACCGTTAGGAGCGCTGAACTGCATTAACTGCTGCGGCAACGAAGCGCTGACCCGGATATGCCTAGAGGCAGTTGTGACATCGTGTGCCTTCGCATAGTTGAGCAGGAAGAGCATGGCATCTCATGATCAAGAGGCGTGGACAGCTCTCGCATGACAGTCTCTGCGTGCGAACGGCAAGCATTGCTTGTCCAGGGTGCCAAGGTGTTCTCAGCTTTCTAAGCAAATGCGCTCACAGAGTAAGATTGAATAGTGACATGTTCGGGCTTCACGGACGCGTTCACATGGTTGTTGTGCCGCATGATAGCACCGCACGAGGCGGAAGACTTGATGAGTGGTCCTTTGCACGAAGCGTGTGCCTTAGAGTAAGGCTTGCTTGTAGTCTAGAATCTAGCATCCAATAGCTTTGCGGCGCCGCGGTGCCTGGACCCAGACACTGACTGGGTGGTTGAGGTAAGTACCCTCCTGGGCTTTTTGAAGCTTCTGTTATACTGGCTGGCAGCTGCCCTCAGACAATCGCTTCTCTTGTTCTGGTGGATGCGTGTGTGTGTGTGTGTGTGTGTGTGCTGGCCAGCGCCATGAACAGGCGACCTGCCCGTCAGTGCTGGGGAGCTTCGCAACCTCGCCTGTGATGATACCACTGGCAAGCATCCTCATTTGTCCACCAAGTCACGGATAGCGCCAAGCAATGCTCTGCGACCTGCGACATTGAAGTCCGCTAAGGCCATCGACCTCACTTGCTTGGATGGCCGACGTACACTCAGCAGGGCGATGGCTGATGGGGCCCAGTCCCCGCATGCGCAGCGTAGCACTCTCGAGGATGCGGTCCGCTCTGCCGCACGCAGATTGAAGGCGGCGGCCTTGCGATTCGGAGATACCATGATGCTGAACTTGCTACTCTGCCAGCTGAAGCTTTATGAGACATTTAGATGGGATCTTTTGTGTGTGTGTGTGTTGTTACGCCAAGAAGTCCTGAGAAGCTCTTGAGAGGCGCTAGACATGTCCTTCAAAGCGACCTCAGGGAAGACGGCAGAAATGTTCATGTATTTTGATACGCTGGACATCGCCGGACCCTGGTACCTTTCCATTCAGATCAGGCACGGATACATCGGGTTGGTCACGCCCATGCTCTTAGGCATGTTTATGTGTAGGCTGGCGATGATCTAGGTATACCATACTCGGGGGGGAGGGGGGGAGGGTGCATCGGCAGATGTGGTGCGGAACTTTGCAGCACTGCAAAGCCGCATCGGAAACTTGGAATTTGCGTACGTAGGCTTGCGGCTTGCGTGTCCGGCTCGGCTAGTCGTATTGGTCGCAGCCTCTCCGCATGTCGGCATACATGGTACAAGTAGGTCAGTTTCACTAGCGTTTCACTCGTCCGAGTGTTGAGTTCATCAGCCTGCTGGAGGTCTCGCTTGTTTGGTCATGGGGGCCTGCATCAAAGCAGAGCACACTGAGGTGCACATGGCAAGCCGTCCTCAACTCAGGCGAGGACACTGATGATTTCGAACTGCATCCCGGCCAGGCTGATGTGACCGCGCTGATGTCCCTGATTGCTCGACGCTTTCGGCCGAGCTTTCGCAAATCGTTGCAACGGAACTCCTGCCAGAGGTGAGTGAACTCGCACCGCAGCAGTCCAAGGTGTAGGCATTGAGGCCTATCAGCACAAGGCCGCAAACAGCAGCGCGGTTTGCTTGTGCCGGTGCGGCAGTTGTGAGGTGGAGTCACTTTGGAGGTCAGAGGCGCTGCAGCATCGACCTTAGCTTTGCTTTGCGCTGCGGACCGGCTGCGGATGCAGCAGAAGAATTCCTTTGCCAAAAGGCGCCCAGCGAGGGGCCTGGCTGAATTCCGCTCCTTGGCTTCTCTTGGCTCAACCGTTTTTGTCAGCCTTCTCCCCTTCTGCCCGTTAATTGAAGTGACGAGGTTGCTATAACGGCCACTATCGCATTTTCGTGCGAGAGCAGCAGCGCGCAGGATGCCGAGACCTTCTCACGCTTCATGGTCGCTTGCAGCGGCAGTCTTGAGGGTAGTGCTGTGTAGTGCTTGTTGATTCCTGGTGACAGGCTGTGCAGCGTCGCATGGTGCAGCTTTATGTTGCAGAAGGCTGGGCTGGTCAATGCCTCGCGTTTAGCATCAAGCTTTGTGAATGCGGCCAAATTCGGAGCTGCAGGCTCGGGTGGGGGTGGTCTCAGCGAAGACGTCGCTGAACACTACAAGCAGTTGATCCGAGTCCAGGTGTGGCTTGGAAGATTCAGGTATCAGCACATTCATGGCCATGCTGTCTTCCAGAGGTTTCAACTGGTATGTTGCAGCCAGTGAAGGCTCAAGCAATCTCGCGGACCTTGCATAGGTTGAAAACCTTCAATGGCTTAGGGCCCAGGGTCGTACCTATGTGAGCCAGGGGATTGTTCTTGTCTTCGTCATTCTAACTCTGCATCACTGCAGCCAGCCGTTCATGTGACCCACACTCTCAGTGTCTCTTTCCCAATGTAGCAAAATGGTGGATGCCTTGTTGAGGAGCCTCAACGTTGGCAGGGCGATTCGCTTGCGCTAGAGAACGCTTCACCTTGCTTTGCTGTTTGATTGTGTGTCGCCTCTCGCTATTGCTGTGTGAAGACACGATCGAGGCGTGTGCCATTTTCGACGGTGGCCTTGGCAAGTTTGACATCGCCGCCATCTGCCATGAGGCAGGCGACCTCACGCAATCTATATGGAGGTTCTTACCTTTTCGTGCGTTTTATTTCAGTATCTAATCTGATCTGTGCTGCCCCCCTGTCAGCATCTCTGCAGACGAGATGCACTTCGCCCTCGCTATTCTCCCACATGTTTGTTTAGCACCTTCGTGCGACAGCTTCAGCTGTGGCAATCAACTCCAGTGGGATGAAGCCTGCTTCGCACACATATCGACCCTCACCTCCTGCGTGCCAGTTTGGAGCATGCGGGTTTGTATGGTCAGGCGCTCCGCGGCCCCCCCC